TAATAATTCATTATAATATTGTATAGACAAAATTCATTGATTGCAAAAAAATATACTTAAAAATAAATAAATTGATAGTATATACACTTGAATCAAACAATATATCCTAATGGTAACAATACATTGTAAACCTATTAGTATAACTCCATGTTACTAAAGATCCCTGACCACAGATTTAGCAAGTTGATGCTGTGTAACTGTATCTAAGAGTCCAAAGGTCCCATCCACAAAGAGGGGTAATAAAGAAAAAAAGAAAAGGAAAAAAAAGGAAAAAATGAAAAAAAGGAAAAAAGAAAAAAGGTAAAAAAGAAAAAAGGTAAAAAATACAAAATGAGAAAAAAATGAGAAAAAAAGTATATACAGTCCCAGTGTGTACACACTATAATATATGGGTGGATCTCACCACATTCTTCAAGGTTGTAAGTCCTTATTTTGAAGCTTGTGTATGTTTCTTCATATAAATATCGTGGTGCAATAGTGCATCCCTGTATATCAATCTGTTGTTTTTCCAAAGTTGTATGCACAAAGAATCCCTCACTCTTCCTGGAGGTGCTGGACTCCTGTCTTCAATCTGCTGGTACCGGGTCTTTTGATGGGCTGAGCGCTCGGGACCGAAAACATCCCTTCAATGGCCCTATCAAGAATAAAAAATAATGAGAAATCCCACACTTATGTATTTTCGGCGCGCCCACCTGAACGCGTGAGTCGCGCCTATGTGACGTCATGACGCTTACGTTCGTCTACCCGCTTGGCGCGCCTCTATGACGTCACGGCGCATACCTCAAATTACTACGTTGGACGAATATGTAGTCCCACTGTGTTTATATCTGTCTTCCTGCGCCTATGCATATATTCCCATGAATAATACATTTTGAGAGAACTTCATCCATTTCCTCAGTCCATATACAGTTGCAAGAAAAAGTATGTGAACCCTTTGGAATGACATGGATTTCTGCACAAATTGGTCATAAAATGTGATCTGATCATTATCTAAGTCACAACAATAGACAATCACAGTCTGCTTAAACCAATAACACACAAAGAATGAAATGTTGCCATGTTTTTATTGAACACACCATGTAAACATTCACAGTGCAGGTGGAAAAAGTATGTGAACCCTTAGACTAATGACATCTCCAAGAGCTGATTGGAGTGAGATGTCAGCCAACTGGAGTCCAATCAATGAGATGAGATTGGAGGTGTTGGTTACAGCTGCCCTGCCATATAAAAAACACACACCAGTTCTGGGTTTGCTTTTCACAAGAAGCATTACCTGATGTGAATGATGCCTCGCACAAAAGAGCTCTCAGAAGACCTACGATTAAGAATTGTTGACTTGCATAAAGCTGGAAAGGGTTATAAAAGTATCTCCAAAAGCCTTGCTGTTCATCAGTCCACGGTAAGACAAATTGTCTATAAATGGAGAAAGTTCAGCACTGCTGCTACTCTCCCTAGGAGTGGCCGTCCTGTAAAGATGACTGCAAGAGCACAGCGCAGACTGCTCAATGAGGTGAAGAAGAATCCTAGAGTGTCAGCTAAAGACTTACAAATGTCACTGGCAAATGCTAACATCCCTGTTAGCAAATCTACAATACGTAAAACACTAAACAAGAATGGATTTCATGGGAGGATACCACAGAGGAAGCCACTGCTGTCCAAACAAAACATTGCTGCACGTTTACAGTTTGCACAAGAGCACCTGGATGTTCCACAGCAGTACTGGCAAAATATTCTGTGGACAGATGAAACCAAAGTTGAGTTGTTTGGAAGAAACACACAACACTATGTGTGGCGAAAAAAAGGCACAGCACACCAACATCAAAACCTCATCCCAACTGTGAAGTATGGTGGTGGGGGCATCATGGTTTGGGGCTGCTTTGCTGCGTCAGGGCCTGGACGGATTGCTATCATCGACGGAAAAATGAATTCCCAAGTTTATCAAGACATTTTGCAGGAGAACTTAAGGCCATCTGTCTACCAGCTGAAGCTCAACAGAAGAGGGGTGTTGCAACAGGACAATGACCCAAAGCATAGAAGTAAATCAACAACAGAATAGCTTAAACAGAAGAAAATACACCTTCTGAAGTGGCCCAGTCAGAGTCCAGACCTCAACCCGATTGAGATGCGGTGGCATGACCACAAGAAAGCGATTCACACCAGACATCCCAAGAATATTGCTGAACTGAAACAGTTCTGTAAAGAGGAATGGTCAAGAATTACTCCTGACCGTTGTGCACGTCTGATCTGCAACTACAGGAAATGTTTGGTTGAAGTTATTGCTGCCAAAGGAGGTTCAACCAGTTATTAAATCCAAGGGTTCACATACTTTTTCCACCTGCACTGTGAATGTTTACATGGTGTGTTGAATAAAAACATGGCAACATTTTATTCTTTGTGTGTTATTAGTTTAAGCAGACTGTGATTGTCTATTGTTGTGACTTAGATGATGATCAGATCACATTTTACGACCAATTTGTGCAGAAATCCATATCATTCCAAAGGGTTCACATACTTGTTCTTGCAACTGTATATATGAAAAAAATCCCTTATGTCCAAAAAGTGTGGGAGAACAAATATAAATGTACATTTGTACAAAAAACTATTATATACATATTTACAATACAAAAACATGGAGAATTAAAGTCAGATAATTGCTGTACTGGAATATTAACCAACCTTATGCATTGGGGGATGGAAATTATTAACATATTTGTGAAAATCTGGCTGAATTGTTAAATATAACATATTTATGAGAATCCATCCAGAGTATAAGTATTAGAATAAATGGAAAAAGTTCTCCGTAATTTCTTAATATCTCTTTTAACTAGATTAGAAAATATGTCTATGGATTGGTTGAATATATGAGGTGTGAATGTGCTGTTAGGTTTCAAACCTGTGTCAAGTGGTAGAGGTAATTCATAAGGTATCGGTTGGTGTGTTTCTGCTTGCGTATTCTCCTGTCCTTGGGTTTTAGTCTGGGCTAAAGTAGTTCTATAGATGTTCTCCATAATCGTCGTAGACGTGGAGCTGATAGGACCACTTTCCATATCTGTAGTGAAAAAATATGCTTTTAATTTTAGTTGCCTCAGAAATTTATATATAGATCATATTCAAACCAAGGTAGAACTTACCAACAAAAACCCAATTTTACTAAAAAAGAATGGCAGGTTTTAAACACGCTTAGAGAAGATAATTCAATTATTATTAAACGAGCAGATAAGGGTGGGGCACTGATCATTATGGACCGAGATTATTATGTGAAAGAAATTAGATTCCAACTAAATGACACACTTAGTTATAAACCAATGGATGGGAATCCCATCCAGCGGTTACAGACAATGAATAAGACAGCCATGGATAAGGGCATTATCATGGAGGGAGAATATAAATACATGTATAAGAAATATCCAACAACTCCTGTTTTTTATACTCTCCCTAAGATCCATAAAAATTTAAAGACCCCACCAGGAAGACCGATAGTTAGTGGTACGGATTCTATCCTACAACCACCAGCGGTAATCTTGGATAAATTTTTGATTAAATACATCCCAAAACAGAAATCTTATATCAAGGATACAAATGATTTTTTAAAATTGATCAACACCCTCAATATTGAACAGACCACGGAAGTCTGGTTGGTGACCTTGGATGTTCAATCACTGTATACGGCAATAGATCATACAGGGGGATTAAGAGCAGTGGAGTGGACATTGGATCAGGACCTCACATTAACCCAACATCCAGATACTAAGGCATATATATTAGAACTATTACGATTTGTCCTGGCTGAGAATTATTTTCTCTTTGAGGACAAGTTTTATAGGCAGATCAAGGAGACAGCGATGGGCTCGAATGTAGCCCCCACTTATGCTAACATATATATTAATAGGTTAGAAGAACTGTGTGTATATGCTATTCCTCTATTCAGAAAATGCCTTACATGGAAGAGATTCATCGATGATGTGTTTGTTTGTTGGGTGGGTACAAGGTTTCAGTTGGACAATTTCTCTGACCAATTGAATTCTGTGGACCCTAACATCAAATTTACCATGACTTGTGACAGATATTTGGTTCCATTCTTGGACACTCAGGTACATTTGATTGATAATAAATTACATACAGATATCTATAGGAAACCTACAGACAGAAATAACCTTTTGGAATACACTAGTTACCATCCTCAACATCTTAAGGATGGTTTACCATACAGCCAAATGTTACGAGTGAAAAGGATAATTTCACAGGAAGATCGGGTAGAACCAGGAATGGAGTTCATGTGTAACAAATTTATTGATAGGGGCTATCCACCAGAACTAGTGAGAAAACACAGAACCAGGATCTCAGATATGGATAGGGCAGAAGTGCTTAACCCTATCGGCAAGAGGGACACCATACAAAGAATCCCTTTCATATCACCATATACCCCGTACAGTAATGCTATTAAAAAAATAATAATGAAACATTGGAGCATCTTTGAGGGTGATATTAATTTGCCAAAAGAATTTAGGAATCCTCCCTTGTTCTCCTATAAAAGAGCACAGAATTTGAGAGATAAACTGGTACATTCGGATATAGGCAGCAACAAAAAACAGAGAAGATTCTTCTCTGAACCTAAGAAAGGCATGTTCCCATGCCTGAATTGTACACATTGCAACAATGTAATCAGAGGTGAGTGTTTTGTACATCCACGATCAGGTAAACCCTTTAAAATACTTGATTATTATACGTGCAACTCAGAATATGTGGTTTACATCTTGAAACGCCCTTGTGGGTTTCTCTATGTTGGGGAAACAATTAGACCAGTGAAGGAACGCATTGGAGAACATAAGAGGGACATAAGAGCGGCCATTCAGAAAGGGACATGTGACAAACCAGTGCCTAGGCATTTTTTACAGCAAGGTCACAATGTTAATCAATTACGTTTTCAAGTAATTGATAGTGTTAAACCATTACGGAGAGGTGGAGATAGACAGAAGGTACTTCTATGTAAAGAAACAAAGTGGATTAGCACTTTGGAAACACTCCATCCGGATGGTCTGAATGAGGACTATGATCTTAAGCATTTTTTGTAGAATGACTCAGGGTCGAACGCAATAGTGTTTACACTTATTATCTTTTGGTCCATTTATTCGGACTAATTTGCCATTTTATATTTACAGCAAGTCATTGGGATCCTCTATGGCACGCCTGCCTCCTTTACCCTTCTAAAGCCATTACAGGAGTTGACCATTCTTGGTCCGCTACCCGAGAAGTAACGGGGTCTAACGTGTGAGAAACCACAGGCATTTTTCACATACTACACTGCTGGTGAGTATGCTTATTTTGTAAAAATAAGATATTTGGAAGGGGTGAACGATCACCTCTGATTACTTGTTGCAACTATATTTTGGTCTTGCATAATCTTTTACTACCTAGGTATCTACCTGGTGGTGGTGATTATACATAAAATCATTTCAACCAAGCGGTGAGAAATAGAAGATGAGATTAGAGAGGGCTTATCTTAGGGTTATTTTTCCTTTAACCCCTTAGCGACCGAGGACGGTTCAGGACCGTCATCGGCATTTTAGCGTTGCCGACCGATGACGGTCCTGAACCGTCCTAACGGTCTTAGTTACTTACCTAATCGCCGTCGTTCCCCCGGCGGCGATCAGCGTGTGCAGCCCAGACAGTCTCCCCACACTGAATTAGGACCCCCGTGGCCATGTGATCGCTTAACACAGCGATCACATGGTCACAATAGGTGTCCATGTGTCTGCCTGCAGGGGGACTGCCTGTGCTGACAGGCAGTCTCCCTGCTAGTGTAAAATCAAAAAATAAAATAAAGTTAATGTTAATAAAAAAAAAAAATTATATATGTGTATATAAATATGATATATAGACATATATTATATCTATATAATATATGTCTATATATCATATATATAATGTCATACTAAGTGTATTTTTATATTAATATGTACTTATATTAATATAAAAATACACTTATAATTAAATTACACACGTATATATATAATATATATAATAACTATATATATTGTATATATATATTATTATAAAATATAAATAATAAGTAATTTAAATTAAATATTTTTTTTAAATAATAATAAAAATTTTAAAAAAAAATTATATATCTATATGAAATTTTATTCTAACTGTATTTTAAAATTAATATATATATATATATATATCAAAATACACTTAGAATGAATTTGTATATATATCTATGTATATAAAAATAAATAAAAATAATAAGAAATATACATATGTCCATATACAAAATTACATAAATAATTATATAAATATACACGTAGACTTCAAATATATAAATATGCATATATATTTAAATTCTACGTGCGTATTTATGTAATATTTTTAATAATTCAGTAATTTTATTGATTGCAATTTGAGGGACCTGCCTGCCAACCCAGGCCGAAATTCCAGAGAATTGAATTTGCTAGCACTGTATTTTACCCTGTAACGTTCTACGACACCCTAAAACCTGTACATGGTGGGTACTGTTTTACTCGGGAGACTTCGCTGAACACAAATATTAGTGATTCAAAACAGTAAAACATATCACAGCAATGATATTGTCAGTGAAAGTGACTTTTTTTGCATTTTTCACACACAAACAGCACTTTTACTGATGATATAATTGTTGTGATACGTTTTCCAGTTTTTAAACACTAATATTTGTGTTCAGCAAGGTCAAATATATGGGTCAAATATTTTTACATTGAAAATGGCCAGGTTGGTTACGTTGCCTTTGAGAGCGTATGGTAGCCCAGGAATGAGAATTACCCCCATGATGGCATACCATTTGCAAAAGAAGACAACCCAAGGTATTGCAAATGGGGTATGTCCAGTCTTTTTTAGTAACCACTTGGTCACAAACACTGGCCAAAATTAGCGTTCAATTTAGTTTTTTTACTTTTTTCACACACAAACAAATATGAATGCTTACTTTGGCCAGTGTTTTCGACTAAGTGGCTACTAAAAAAGACTGGACATACCCCATATTGAATACTCTGGGTTGTCTACTTTAAAAAAAATATGTACATGTGGGTTGTTATTCAGAGATTTATGACAGATAATAGTGTTACAATGTCACTATTGATAAATTTTAAAAATGTATGTTTTGAAACCGCAATATCCTACTTGTACCTATAGCCCTATAACATGCAAAATAAAAGCAAAAAAGCACGTAAACACGGGGTATTTTTAAACTCAGGACAACATTTTGAATCTATTTAGCAGTTTTTTCATTCGCTTTTGTAGATGAGTAAAAGATTTTTCAAGTAAAAGTAAAAAAACTTCAATTTTTCATCATATTTTTTAATTTTTTTAAAATTAAAATACATGAGATTATATAAATAATGGTATGTAAAGAAAGCCCATTTTGTCCTGAAAAAAACAATATATAATTTGTATGGGAACAGTAAATGAGAGAGAGGAAAATTCCAGCCAAACACAAACACCACAAAAGTGTAAAAATATGCCTGGTCGCAAATGTACAACATCGCAAAAACAGTCCAGTCCTTAAGGGGTTAAGAGATTTTTTTAGTATAGGTTTTTTTCAGTAAAAACCTTTCTTTTCAGTAGAAAGGAATTTTTTTCCCAAAAAACTTTTTCCATTTATTCTAATACTTATACTCTGCATGGACTCTCATAAATATGTTATATTTAACAATTCAGCCAGATTTTCACAAATATTTTAATAATTTCAACCCCCCAATGCATAAGGAACTTTATTGGTTAATATTCCAGTACAGCAATTATCTGACTTTAATTCTCCATGTTTTTGTATTGTAAATATGTATAAGAAAAAAAGAGGAATGGAAGCTATAGGGAAAACACTCATAGTGGGGTTGACCCACACAAAACTACCAAGGTAGTAATTACAAAAACAGAACAATTGAGTGCCCTACGAATAATTAAAAATTTACTTTTAATAAATAAGTTAAAAATCAAGTGTAGAGAGCCTGATATAGCATAAAGTAATGAGAAATAATACTCTCTATGCAATTAGTTGCAATGTATTATAATATAGGGATTGCAATTCTAAAGTGATAGTCCCTTGTTAAGGGTTAAAAATAACATCTAAACGTGTAAGATAAAGAGTACATTAACAAAGGAATAACAAGTACAGAGGACCTGTTCAAAAGTTTTCAGTGAACCTCTGGTAAATGAACACTGCATCAATACATTGTTGCAGTATATTATCAATAATGACACAAATTATAGTGCTTAGTTCGGTCTAAGAGAAGTCATGTTGCAAAAGGTATTAGATGACTAAACGAAAAAAGAAGTCTATGATCACAAAAATTAAAATAAAAACTGTAGAGAAGTCTTATGAGCGGATTATCAGTAAGTGAAATATCAGTGACCCCTTATCAAAAGTAGTAATAAAGTGAATGATAAATAGAGTGCCACAAATACGTTCATATACAGGGGGAAGAAAACCCCAATACCTAAAACCGCCCAATTCTAACAGTTATATACAAAGGGATTCTGAGGGAAGTGTGGACAATATGGTGAATAACCCACACTGCAAGGTATTTGCAAAGAATCACCGATAGCCCCTGACGCGCGCGTTTTGCCCACAACTCATCAGAGGGGAACCGATGTGTGGTAAGTGCCCGAGTATTTAAAGGACATGAATCACCATGATTGGAGGATTTAAAAAGCCCGCTGTTAAGATTGGGCCAATCACGATGGATATAATTGATGACGTCATTAAGGTCCGGAATGGAAAGGGTGTTTAACCCTCGTTGATAATCAAGATCTGAATGGCAAAAGAGGATTATTAAGCGCTTAATTCCAGATAACATAAATGTCAGGAAGTGAATCTTAATACATCTTATATAACTAATAACCTTTAGATGTAATGACGGAATAGATATCAAAAATAAAAAAGTAAAAAAGTAATATAACATCATATGCGGTCGAAAAAAAAAGAGAAAGTGTATAACCCCATCAGTTTATGTTGACTTTATGGTGAAAGAAGAATAGGGAACTTAAATAGTTAACTGGCAGTCATGCCCAAATACAATATTGTTGAAATCACGATTAAATATATCCAAACATGTATAAGATAACGAAATTTAGCTCCAGAATGGGTGTTTAACCCCATCCGGGCATAATTAGTGTGTCAAAACACTCGATAAGAAACGGTTCAGAATGAAAAACCGAAGAAAGATCAGATGAACCAAGAGAAATGTCTAAAGTATAGTAAACTGGAATGCAATGATTCCGATGTTAGGAATCAATATGTAAATCTAGTGGTAATATTCTACAGCAATTAAAGAAGAGAATAGTATTATGTGCAACCCCTCTTCGTACTCCTTAGTGTATATAATACGTAAAAACTATATACACACTTAAAGGAACCTATGTGGCTCAATTAATTGCCAAGATCATAAAGTAGATATTTAAAGCCAGAGACAACTAGAGTAATAAAGACTCCGTGCTTAAGAGAGAATATCTAAATGCATGAACAACGGAAAAATAGTAAAACTAAAGATAAATATAACCAGCTTATTAGAAATTGAGACATCAAATAAATATTAACATATTCATGAGTTGAAAGAATATTTATGTAATAGTAACTGAATAGCAGAGATGAATCTATGAATGTATAAAAGGGGTGAAATTAAATTCTTCATTTAAGCCTGCTGGAGCCAAGGTTTGAAATTCAAAAATCCACCTGGACTCTTTCTGAAGAAGTACAAGATTATAATTGCCTTTTCTGGAGTTAAGAGTAACTCTTTCTAAAGCCTGAAAAGATAGGTGGTTAGGGTTTCCATCATGGAAATTTCGTACATGGTTAGCTACGGGGGTGCTTAAGTTCAGATTTTTCACAGAGTTGATATGTTGTAGAGTTCGTCTCCTTAATTCTTGGTAGGTTTTGCCTATGTATTGCATTCCACAAGAACAAGTGATAACATAAATGACACGTGTAGTGCCACAATTAATGAAATGTTTGATTTTGAATTCCTTTTGAGTTTTCGTACATTTAACGATTTTAGACTGATTGATGAAGGGGCAAGCTTTGCAGTGTCCACATTTATGGATTCCCAAAGGTGCATTGAGCCAAATTTTCGGGCCAATTTTTTCCAGGTGGCTGTGTACCAAGAAATCCCTCAGATTCCTAGATCTGCGTGCTGTGATGTTAGGATAAGCCACAGATCCCGGTTTCAAATCAGTATCA